AAGTGTTTGCCGTAGTTAGGCAAAGCTAATCCGATTACGTACTTAGATGCTATAGCAGAGCAGTGAAATTCATGCACCACAGAAAAACATGGCCTTTTGAACGTTGTGTTTCTCAGAAAATATGCACAGTATGATTGAAAAATTACATTATAACGGAAGAAGAAATTCTGAGCTTCATGTCAGTGAAAAAACCGCCGTCGTCGATGCCGAAACGTAAATACTGGTTACTGGTTTAGCCGACCTTCAAGTCTGGAAGAAATCGTTCGAAAACTTCCCCAAATCTCTGTATTTATATCTATTTCTAGGAGTTTCTCAAAATTGTTATTTCACGAGCAGTTGAACACTTACATAATCCAAGTATATTCCGAATTTCAGCTTAATATGGAAAATTTCGACAATGATTTCTGACGATCCAAGTCACATGCATTGTTCAGCAAAGCGCCTCAGGCACTATGGTTGACCGATTTCGGCCCAGCCACACAATATCGTATTGTAGATTAGCATATTCATTAGGGTCATTCGGCGTGTTTTGGCGTGGGTCTCGGTATCGACCAATGGAATCCGGCAAAAAGGTTGATATTTATCAATTAAAAACTCGTGAAGGACGCTTTTCTCAACATTTTGACTGCATACCATAATAAAAAGGAACCTTATTAATATTCGTGAGGCTTGAAAAGATTGACTGCTATTGCAAACGTCAGTGTTACAACTTTCAATGATGCACGTAGCCAGTTTTTTTTTTCAATTTCAACGAAAGTACAACGATTTTTAGCACATACTTGGATCATTATGAGGAAAGTAAACCCTGAAAGTTGCATAAAAGATACGGTCTCCCAAACGGGAGGAATTGATTTTCAAAGATTTCGCCCGCCAACGTGAACATGTATGTGCACATGTAGTTTCATTCAAAATGAAGTGTTACGTAACATTTAAAAATCGCCCTTCGCAACCGTATGACTGATAATGCTGGAGAAAACATCATAGATGTCAACATTTTCTGGGGGACACCCCCAGCAGGTCGTGCCCTCGGCCGCACACGTCAACCCCCCCCCAATATCACCCACCGTTTCCTAAAAGCTAGATCCGCACCTGCACTTTCCCTATCTACATTCATTGCTTATCCCAATACTACATCATTTCATGCATCATAAATGTCAAAGTTGTTAATTATTAACCACAAGTATAGGTTAGCGTGAAGCAGGTCTTGGATCTCTACTATTATGTTAATGCGTTGGATCAAAGCTTTATTTGTCTAGCTGCTAAATGTTGTTGACGCCGGTATGGAAGTCTGGTATGCAATATCAAAGGAGTCCTGCCATGGTGCTTTGTACAAGTAAGTATGCAGTATACGAAAATGGATAAATAATTGCTATTACCATTTTGTATAGAAGGCAAATGTCGTGATTATATGCAATTACATGTAAATGGCGAAGATTCCTGTTGTCTATAAATGCCATCTTTGCAAAACGTAACGCACAAAGTATATCTTCGTAAACACCGGCAATCGTGGACCCCCTATTGTCCTTAATCCTCATTCTTTTGTTTGTACTCTAATTAGCAACAGCTCTAATTGGTTTTATACACGAATTTCAATCGTGGACGTTCGGTCAATCCGTGGACGTACTTTTGTCCTATAGGTCCACAATTGCCGGTGTTAAAGGTGTTAACAAAGTCAGCTACAGCCACATTAGTTGTTAGATTAAGGTTCATGAATGATGTTTAATAGTAAATGTTTCCTATATAAAAACACAATATTGACATTAGGACACCAAAATAAATTACTTAATTATAAAAAAAGCTGATCGAACTGTGGTGAGTCAACGATGGCTGCGACTAAGCCTATAGTGAGATCGGTTTCATCGTCGGTTACCAACTGCAGTGGGCATTATGATAGACAGCAGGGAGCCATGCAGGACCCAGAAGTTTTGTGATAGCGTTCTGACTATCGTTTGAACATTCTACTAACCTTAATAGTTTAGTTACACATTAAGATTATATAGATTACATAAGGTTTGCATTTTTCTATGAAGATCTCGAATCCCAAACTCTGTTTTAATACTCAGTCAGCGTTCGGCAATCAAATGATGACTTAAAATACCTATGGGACCAAATCAAATTTCCCCACATTCTAAGATCCGGCTGAATTCATGTCGCAATAGAAAACTATTTAGCTACCAACAATAGGTGTCTGTGTTTACCTGGGGCACCTGGGTTTCTTTCTATCGAGCACCGTTCAATCGTAACCCCATGCCCCGTCCCTTTCATTGGTATTCAAATTTTCAATCTACATACTTGGCAAATATTTTGTGACCGTATTTGGTCACAATTTATCATCGGCCCGGGGTTTTCATAATTATGGCCCGGGATGCCTATTGAATAGCCTTTTTTGAGAAAACTAGTTCGTATCGCAATCGTCGTTTGGTTCAACGCGAAAAGTTTTGAACAACGCTGATTGCAGACCAATGTAGTTTAATTCGTACGTTGTAAATTTTTACTGTAAACTCCAATTTAGTGGACACAAAAATAAGTATTTCCAATTAAAATGACCGCGACCATATACAAGCATTGGCTTTCTTATAAAAGACAAACATGATGGATAAATAAAAGCTGAAATTCCTAAGCTACACTTCTATTAAAGTAAAGAAGTATTAAGGCCTGAACTGGGTCCGTGAAAAATAGAGATTTATATTCATGGATTAAACAAAAGCGGATATATGACCTGCTGACGTTTTGAAAAATGCTATTACTCTTTGCCCTGATATTTCCTTGTTAAAGATGTGCCATTTTCGAGTATCACTCGATAAACAGATTTTTTTTTCCAATTGCTATTTTCCTAACAATGTAAAAGTTTTTACTTGTGAATGAGACATCGAACGAAAATGCCCACCAACTTTGAGTTGTTGAATTATTTCTCCGCAAAATAAGATTAGTCGGCTGCCAGTCAAAACTTCGGCTCTCCCAGGGCCGGTTATCATGTGGGCAAATTATAAGTTCTTTTTCAAAGGGTTGCAGACCCCTGAAATTGGTATAAAGTATAGTTCTTATCGTTTAAACAGATAAACAATCCTTTTTTGATAGGCATGATGGGGAATGCATCTTAAAATTATCAGATTACTCGTGTTCCTAAATAAGTCCCCATTTACTCCCTGATGTATTCTAATTCTCAAGACGCTGAATCAGCATTTGTCAGAGTTAGACTGTAAGTAACCTACCTTGCTTCGTCTGATTTATTCTCTTCACAAGAGACGATGAGAAGTCCCTCCAACACAGAAGTGTCCAACTACGTCACGGCGCTCGATCGCCAACCAACTTCAACATGGGCAACACGACACAACCCGACAACTGTTCAGTTCACTGTAAGCACCAATCAAGTTCTCTTTCTGTTTTCTCCAGAACTGTTTTCTGTTCTCCAGAAATGTTGGTCTTTACTGACACAACCTCGATTTGGCAAGCTTAGACAATTTGAAGTTAATAGCCTCTGATTATTGAAGCCGTCCGGGTTGCAAGTTATTCCGATCTCCGAAAGTTTTAGGAAACGTCGACGTTCGAGGAGCTAATACCTTCGAGACAGTTCTTCCACCATAAAGTTGGAGGAAGGCTCAGGAATTTTAGCCCAAGGTATGGAGTCAGTTGTACATGTATTCAGTTTAGGGGCCGCACCCTTCGTGCACGAACGCTGGAGGTAAAATGGCGGGCACTTTACTTCCTCTAAACCTCTCCCAACCTGCACCCTACTGTAGGGAATCATTGAAACCATTCAACAGTGATCACTGTTTACACAGCGTACCAGGCAAGCGGGACAAGTTCAAGGGGGCGGGACTTCCATCCATAACTTTCAGGGGACCAATAAATAAACGTAATCATGCATGCACTCTCTTTTATGAAGCCCTCATAATTGTAAGCTTGGGGCCTGTGGATGTGTTTTTCAGTGCATGTATTGAAATTCGAAAGGGCATGCTAGGCTGATTGCTCTCAGTAGTATTCTTGTATAACCCTATACTAAAATGACCTGGCATTTCACTTGTAAAGTTTGAGAGTCTTTTTTTTTTTTACATGGAGTTATTTTAGCAACCTTAAAAAACATCTTTGTTGTGAGTGGCAACCTAACAAAGCAAAAATCAGATAGCTTATTTCCACAGCAGCTGTAAATATCGTGCAATTTTTTCGCTTTGTACAGGGTGAGTAAAAAAAATGAACCCAATTGGTGCCCCCTATTTTTTTTAAAAGAAGTACTGCATAGTGCGCTTTCCAGATCTATGATATGAAAGCCCAATTAGTAAACATTCTTTTAGTGAAAGAATCGCTCGAATCACTTATGTGCCATTCCAGGTTTTGAACACAAACACCGTTTTATAACCTTGTCCACGGATATAAAACGGTTCATGATTTTTCAGTACAAGTGAGACCATATTGTATCCTATTGTAACTAAACGGCTGAGTTTTCTAGCCCGCAAATTACTTAGACGGCATTTTAAAAATTCTAGTAGCGATGAATGCACAAAAGGTTTACTGATGCATATGCCAGCAAAACTAAGGAATTGCCCTCTAAGATGGCTGCTAAGCAAAAGGTCTTTAAAGAAGGAGCGGTATACATGTACATGTAGTTCCATGTTGAAATGAGGGGGGGGGGGATTTTATTTTAGCCTGTTCCAAACATTAGAATACCTATATGTTGGGCAGCAGTTTACGGTAAATCACTGAATATTATTATTCTGTACAAAACAGAAAATCGTTTCAGTGGGGAGTGTGAGGTGGAGGGGATGTTGTTCATTTTCATTAGAAGGCGATAGGTTTTTTTCCAAAGGAAATGACTTTAAACTTACAGCAACTTTTGCACTCCAAAAATGCGCAATTGCAAGCTGTGGTGAAAAACAATATTTCAGGGTGAAAACTTCGGCTTGATAATAAACGAACTTTTTTGTATGAAGCAAAGAAAATATTGCAAACCAAGATATACAGTATCTCTAATAACAGTTTATTGTTGTTTACTAAATCCGAAATTTCCAGGTGTAAGTTGAAATAAGGGTTACAAAAAATATAGAAGTCTATTAAAAATATTCCTGTCATACAAGCTAAATTTTACAATAAGCATTAAAAATATTTATAAATGTAAACATTTATTGCATAGCTACTCTAATGTTTCCTTACATCCAATCCAGAAATGTGTGACTTTTTCCGGAATAACTCCCCCCCCCCCAAAAAAAAAAATAAACAAGTGCTTATATAGAAATCTAAGTTCAAGTATCGTATTTCATAGTTTCTTCAAGAAACCTACATTTCATAATAAATATTTATTTACAATAAACTCCGACAAAGATGATCATGGTTAAAACAGTTCACGAGACACAAACATTTCACTGTTATACATGTACAAACTTGGTGACATAAAGTTGAAGTTCATTTATTCAACTGCAAGTAAGTGAGTATTGAGGGAGTGAGAAAGATGCATAATAATGTGCAAAAGAGGGAATAATGATAACCCTAAACCATGCAATCATAATGAAATTCATCAAATTAATCACATTCATGTATCAACTAAGTTCTCTCACACAGTCGGTTGTTGTCGTTACGAACAATTTCAAGAAAATTATAAAATGGTATATGAAAAAAGAAAAAAACAAACATGGATGCAATTCTGCAGAATTGATCTGTCAAGAAAACGAATAAAAGGTATAGCTTTGTGTTTTTGTTTAGCGATGTACACCCCCCAAAAACCCCAATCATAAACGTAACAGTTTTGGAAAGCTGAACTTTTCCTGATTGCCACTATAGAGATGCTTAATTAAAGAGGTCATAAAAATAACTTGAAGAGATTATCACATCGTTTCACTGTTTTACAAGTATTCAGGTCCAAAAGAATGGTGGAAACTTCGGAATTCAAACCTACATTTCATAATAAATGGTTAATTAAATCAAACTCCGACGAATATGATAATGGTTAAACCGTTCACGATGCACACATTTTTCAATTTTATACAAACTTGGTGACATAAAGCTGAGGTTGTCTTATTCAACTTAAAATTAGTGAGTATTACACTCGGAATAGATGGAAATCTTTGTTTCAGTTTCAAGTCAGGTAGAAAAGAAACAGTTGTAAATACATGTACCATAAATATATCTGCGAGTTTATCTGAGAAAATTAACCTCGTTCTGAACGATGATGTTTCCTTTCATCAGCCGTTATATACAATAACCGTACATTAATCAAAATACATCAATAATCGTACAGGCAATGAGCAATATTAACAATGTCGTATGATTGTACATACAGATAAAGACGTGTTTCTTAAGCTAAAGTTTTATTGCATCAACTTGTCAAAGTGCAAAAAAAAAACACCCTAAAACATTCTGGGTATAATTGAAACCTGCTTGATTTGATTTCTCATTGAAGGCACACGGTGCTGCTAAAATTAGGACTAGGTCTACTGAATGCAGAGAATATCTTACACAGGAAACTCGTTCCAAAAATTGACATTTTCTCTACCTGTCTTGTTTAAAATACACGCGTTCATCTAACACTTCCATTAAAGGATTGCAAAGATCCCAAATACATAGCCTCAAAGCTGACGTTTTCTCACATCAGTGTTATTTACAATGAAAATACATGTACATGTACAATCATCTTATGCACATTAATGAAATCCTGCTTGGTTTCATTTTACATTTTCGGCAACACACACAGTTTTCTGTACACGATTGCAAAATTCTGTACACGATTGCAAAATCTGACGTTTTCGTCTTTAGCTGTCAAATAAACGATAATGGTGCTTAGAAAAACAGGCTGAGCAATCCTAACGAACACTAACATTTAGTTCTCCGCTTGAAAAAAATAATACAAATTTGAACCTTTTAACAACTATTTTACTGTACTATTTAAGTGTACCTCTTCCCTTTGGTTTGTGTCTTCTGTAAATAATATGAACATTATGATAGCAAATTGGAAGACAGAAGTACGTGTGACCTGCCTCCCCGAAATGAGCATAAACTCGGACTTTTAAAGAAATGACATATTTATATATCTGGATTTTGCAAAACAAGAGGTTTCCAATGGTATAAAGCATAAGGGTTGCTGGGTTAGGTATCATAAATAAGACTGCCAACTTTATTACCAATTGTAAAACTTAATTTTGAGAAAATTGCATTTGAAAACCACCCCGAAGAAACCCTAGTTGGATGTGAATCTCACAGGAAGGAAATTCAAGTGTAAGAAGCAAGGATAGGAGAGCAAGGGATAGGAGAGAACAGTTCTTGACAGAAACCACGTGATGCAGCTGTATCATTTGTCCTTGAGGGAAATCGAACCGAATGGTTGTGCATTGAGAGTCACCACCTCAGATTTCCAGGGGTCTAATGGAAGCAGCTACCATTCAGAATCCTCAAAGAAACCCTAGAGGACATATGCAGACCATGAATCAATTTACTAAGCTTATAGTCAATCTATGATGACATATGGATCTTACTTTTCCTCCGTGCTTTTGTTACTGCTTTCCCCCCGGTTTTTTTTACTTTTTTCAATGCGTCGTCTGAATTCGCTTAGAAATGTCTCATAGGTGAACATTGTATATTCACATTCATTTTCATTTGTCATTCATTTCTTGTATACTTCTCAACGTTGTGATTTAGGAATATAATATGAATATGTCTTAGTAAGAATGTCGACAGCAATACTTATTTGTCGACTCGAGTAGAATAACCAAACGGTCCGATTGAAATGTTGTGCTCCAAATTGTGAAAATAAAAAGCAACAACTTGGTCATAATTTGTATCAGTTATACCTACGAAAAAGTGACATGTGGAAGATTTCGCTCAACCACCTGCTCGACACGCTCTGCATCGTCACCTATGTAAAAAAGCAACAACAATTCTAGAGGCAGATTCTTGAGGTGAGTGGTAAGAGTATCCACTCCATCTGCACTGAATGCATTGCCGTCAACATTAAGCGACTGCAAACCATGCCCGACAGGGAGGAGGCTGATCAGGTCAGGGACGTCATCATCATTCAGTCCACATGAGCGTAATGACAACGACTTCAGGGATGGAAGAACAAGAGGGGCTACAACACCCAGATGGCCGTGAAGGTTGGTCTTGCACAACCTTACATCATTCAACCTATCAAAACCATCCAGTGCATTCCCTAGTCTAATGACGTCATCATATGGTCTCCCTCTCAGGCTGACTGCCTCGATGATCTGCTTGCCCACACGGGACAGGGATCCTAAATCATACTCATCGAAGTGAGATATCTCATCAATCTCCAGTTCCAGCTTTATTTGATCACAAAGCCTCTCATCCATCTCTGAAGGCCTTTGGCTCTCTTCGTTCGCTTTCTCTGACATGGTGTAAGAAACAGTTGCCCTGGTGTTACCACTCGATGGTATCTCTCTCAGCAGCTTCAGGCATTCATGCCAACTACTGGTGATATTTAGAACAATTTTTGTTTTAGTGTCATCATGCAGTAGTTTATCAATATCACTCAACAGCGCCAATTCTTCATGCGATCTGCAGTGGACAGTGAATTCCTCAAGTTCTACTAGTGGCTGACGGAGACACTGCAAGTAATTGCGCATGGCCAACAGTTCCTCCTGACTATCACAATCTGTGTCAGTTGGTCGGTCTAGCTTATCGGCCATTTCGTCAGAACCAGACTCCAACAACAAGAGGCGGACCAGATTTTGCAGGTCTTTATTATGCCACATTCCCGCATGTTGTTTTTGTACGTACTGTAGGATGAGCCCAGTAGCTGGAGACCCCGACGATATGCCGCATGCAAACTGAAGTAGATATTTCATTGCGAAGACATTGTCTGGATTGATCTGCTTTAAACTCTCATGAAACTTGTCTTCGTCTGTGTGATGCAGATTGGCAAAGTAGTATGCTGCACAGAATTCTTGGAAGGACTTGTGTAAGAATGTTACTACCTTCAACTTCTTCAAGCCACTCGTCAAACTTTCCTGTTGAAGGAAACCCAATCGACAACCGTCCTTCAAGTCTTTCTCATCAAATTCCTCTGAGGAGAACACCAGCCTTTCCCCCTTTGGGTCTAGTAACCCGTCCAGAGCGACTCGCCCCAGTCCACGTAGGACTTTATTCATCAGCCCCACCTTGTCCTCGCCTTCGTTGCACCGGCGACTGACTAAAACCTCAACAAACTCTGTGTAAAGTGCCGTTAATTTCTCAGGCAATTTCGACATATTTTCCCAAACTATGCACAAAAAGAGTACAATGATTGGAATCTGAACCAGTGTTTGCAGTAATGGGTTGGATGTCACGTGTGAAATTAACGATTTCCCGTGGTTGTCGGCTTCGTTTTTAGCAAAGTAGGATGTTATGTATTTCCTTGCAGTTTCGAGCCTAAAGCCCAATGTTTCAACGCGGGCGAAGTGTGTGAATCCCTTAACTGCAAAGTCAACCATGTGTGGCCGAGTTGATACTAAGACAGTACTATGTCTCAGCACCTTGTTGTGCAAGATATCCTTGACCCCATAGCCACCTTCAGGTGTTGGAGAATTCAGAACATCGAGAGGAATCTCATCCAATCCGTCCAGTATGAAAGCTGTTTCGGCTTCGTTATCATCAATAAGTTTCTTCAAAACTGCCTTCTTAAAGTTTGGTAAAATCTGGTCGCGTATGGCCTCAAGGACGCAATTTGTATGTTTCATTTCCCTCAACTTCACTAGAAACACAAGTTTGAACTTTGCCATCACGGAATTTGGATCAGTACTCGCATTTGCAACTCTCAATAAAAGAGTAGACTTGCCAAATCCTGCCCATCCTGAAAGAAGGATTCTAAGCTTTCCGGCTACATCTTGAAACATGTCTACCCATGAGTCTAGGCGCTTTGTTTTACATTTATCTACATTTCGTGTCCCCTTCTGTAAATGAATGGGTTCTTGTGTCATCTCATTACCCTCTAATTTCCGAGTGAGTTCAACTTCAGAAAAGAACTGATCAATAGCCACGGTCCTGGAAGGATCTAAGGGGTGTGCAGGGATGGTGCTTGTTGTGTCCTTGTAGTACTGGATAAGCTGCTGCTGACAGCGCTCCAGAACGGTTACCACTCTGGAGAAACAGCAACATACCTTGTGCCTTGTTCCTAAAACGACAACAAAATCCGTGTCAGTGCTCTCTCTCTCTAATATCCAGAGTGGAACTATGGACAAGATGACTTCAAGAGAAATCACTCTAGTTTATAGATTAAAAGCACTGAAAAAGAATCACTTCAGTCGAAACTCGTTTAAAAACTTGAACTTTTTGATTGAATGAGAAGAGAGTATTTATTTATTTAACACATAAGGAAGAGAATTCAAGAGACCCAGGATACACAAAAAAAACAAACAATTCATTTTGACAGTCATTTGAGTTTTCGTTGGTAATTAGCAGGTTCATGTGATGGTTATAATTAGTGCGTGAAAGTTGAGTTTTTGCATCAAGATTCGGATTGATGGTTAAGCAGTCTAAACTACTTCACTTCTTAAAATAAATAATTGAAAGAGTTTTATAAACAATTGTTTGTTAAGTTCCGTTACTGTATTCCTTTAACAATTTCGATGATTTTTGTCATAAATTTTCAACTGGGCTATTTTAGTACAAACAAAATACCCCTTCCTTTTCCCTTTTTTGTTGACGTCTACAACCATTTTTGTTTTGTTTTGGCAAAAACAGATCTGACGCACATTATTGATAATGATTGTTGGGCGGGAACCAGCCTACCAGCGAAATTATTGTCCGGCAGCCAATAATTCAAAATTCTAAACTGATAATTTAATAACTTAACATTGGACGGGTTTTTTTTTTTTGGGGGGGACTAATGTCTCATTTAAAGGTAAATAACTTTTGAATTGCTCGAAAAACAGCAATTTAGAAAAGGAATCTATTTTCTCGGGATGAAACTAAAAAGAAAATCACAGGGGAATGCAACTTAATGGATATTTATGTGAATGACTTCATCCCATTACTGATGTGCAGCCATTGTTATTCTCACAAAAGAGCCAGAGGTCAACGCCAATACCGGATGTATTATCAAAGTACAATGAACTTATCCGACAGAGAAAGCATAACAAGTTGAAAGGATGCAATGAACATTCATTTGATGTAAGTAACAATATGTCTGAAACACCATGCTCACCTGTGTCAGCATTTGATGGGTTTAATTCTATCTCTTCCTCCGTTGGTAATCGTTGTTGCCCATTTCCTGCAAGCGGATGTACAAACCAGAATAAACGGCATAGGTATAAACGCGTCCACAAGGTTTATAGAATGGTATTTGAAATGATGCTTTTATACACGAATATTCTCATATAATTTCCTTTGGTCTTGTTTTTCGGCATAAACCTTTAATTCATATTGAAATGAACTGGAATACATGTAGTCGACCTCGTTATTTGAACAAACGCGAAAGAGAAGAAATTTGCGAATTCATTATTTTATAAAGACTGTAATTTTGTCTTTAACAATATAAATTCACAGTGATCCACGCCTTTTCAGGTGAATACGAACTTATTCCAGTTAATTATTTCTGATACTTTTTTTCTTACCTTGACCTGTTTTGCGATGACTGAGATACATTCCCACTGTAAGAACGACAAATAGAAGCTGTTGTCACTACTTCTTTTTATTACTTTTTAATGAAAATATTAAACAATGTAGGGCAAAGCTTAAACAGTTTTTTTTGGGTAATTTCTTGAGTCAATATTTGATACGTTGGAATTAGCCATTTGATATATTGAAGGGTGCATGCGATGAATTTTCTTCGGAACATATTTGTGCGACTTAATTTCTTCTCATCTGCAGTTGTATGGAAATTTTTTGAGATATCCCTTTTTGGTTCATTTTATTGAACACTAGTGCACTTCTTTAAGCATTCAAATTTGTCCATTCTTGAAGCAAAAAAGACCCAACAGCCAGACGTTAATTAAACAAACGAATAACCCAGAAGGATGTCTGCCATGAATTGGAGGCTTCAAGGACCAAGGTGTCATTGTCCACAGTCAGTGTCTGAAATGTTACTGAGCAAGGAAGAAGCCCGGCTTAAAATAATAAGATAGGTTTATGTAGATATACTTTTGACTCTGTAATATTTTTGCTGGCATCAATAAATTCCAAAGAAAACAGTAACATAGATTAATTCCGAATTGGAGTAGTTGACTTAGACCATGGGCGTCGCGAGGGGGATGGGGCAAGGGGCCCCCGACAAGCAGAAAAAAACAAACAAACAAACAAACACCCCAACAAACAAACAAACAAACAAACAAAAGAGAAAAAAACCCAAAAAGGAAAAGAAAAAGAGAAAAAGAGGCGCGAAATCATATTGTTGTTAATTTAATGGGAGGGGGAAGGCAAATATCCCTGCCCACTCTTGAAAAAATTATCAATCCAGAAAATGCTGGAAAATATAGGGAGGGATTTTGTGGGTAAAATTTGCTTTACCCCCTCTTAAAATAATGATGGCGACGCCCATGCCTTAGACCGCCCGAAACAATCGTGTGTAACAATCGTGTTTGTTTTGTGAATGAATTCGGTTGTGAATGATGGATATGGTCAGAAAACGAGGGTGTGTATGTGATAGGTTGACAAGTAACTGTAGATTGTGATTGTAACTGAACAACCACAGAGCTGTTCTAAAACTGTTTTTGAATGTCTATTGGACAGTACAAAATGATTTCGTGATTGTTTATAAAAAATTGTAACTATTAAAATTGGAATTCTAATTTTTAAAAGTTTCCATTCCGGTACAACCGGAAGTGAGGATCACATGACCGTGACATTCCAGGAGATGCATTTTCAGTCCAATATGAGGAAATGTGCAAAGAACTGGAATCCTAACTTATTGTATTGTGGTGATATGGCGGTCACTCATATGCCTCATTCAATATACCCTGACGTCATAACATGAGAACAATAAACTACACAGTAATAATAATGCAACATATTAATTTTGAATACTACTTCTTACTACGTGTATTATAAGGTACCAACCCGATCAGATTTATAATTCATGAGATATGATAATTAGGGTTTCAAATTAACACTTCCGGTAAAACCAGAAGTAAGGGTCATATGACCTTGATATTGCAGGAGGTGCGTTTCCAGTCCAATATGAGGAAATATGCAAAGAACTGGAATCGTACCTCATCGTATTAGTGGGATATGGTGGCCACAAAATTGCCTCGTTACAAATGTAATAGGCCTATGCATAACGATATATCAATAAACTGCACAATTATGCTAAAATATGTGCACTTACATACTGTCGCGAGAAGAGCCAAGGCTGCTATAAGTGTACCAGCAATGGCCGTGATCTCGCCAATACTCAAGCCAGGTGGTTTAGTTGTAGTTGGTGTCGCTGCAGTGGTCACGTTCACACTTCCTAACTCGGCCATTTCCATTCTCAGTAAGATACTCTAAAACAATACAAGAAGCAAATACAGCTGTACGAATGATGGACTATTTGCTATTTCACAAAATGGCTCAAATGGATACGAATCAAGTATTCGAGTGTACATGCATATGGCGCCCTCTGTCGAGCACCCTCAATAAATGTAGTCTATTTGTCTTTGTTTACATGATTGATCTATTGTCACTGTTTGGGCTGTTTTCAATTCGGCCTTGATGATGCGAGTTAAATTAAACTAAAGCAGTTGGAGTGACTCAAAAGTGACTTAAAATAAAAACACTTTTCCTTATCATTTTTTTCTTGTTAATTTCAAGTCTGCTAATTTGCTAATTTAGAATTAGCCTCTGAAACCTACCTTGCTTAATCTGATTTGCACATCAAACAGGTGTCCAACCACGTCACGGCGCTCAACACGACACAGCACTGACAACTGTTCAGTTCACTGTTGAGTACTGATCAAGTACTGTTTCTGTTCTCCAGACGGAATCTGCAGACATCAAGGTAGGTCTTTACTTGGACACTCGTGGTTTAGCAAGCCCAATTGAGGTCAGCCTCTTGATTATGTCCCGTCTAAAAGTAAAAGCTCGCTGATTTCCGGGTATAGTGGCAAGTCATTGCAATCCACGAAACATTGTACTTCGAAGAAGTCACACTTTGGTGATAGTTCAATCACCATGCAGTTGGACGAAGGCTTGGGATGTTTGAGCCAAATGTGGCAATTTATACTTGTATTCAGTTTATACTAAGCCCCACCCTCAGCTTCGTGCACGAACGCTGCAGGTAAAATGGCGGGCAATTGACTTCATCCAAACCTCTCCTAACCACTTGAACACCATACTGTAGGGAACCATTGAAACTGTTAAATGTTAACCATTTACCGCAGCGTACCAGGCAAGAGGTGCAATTAAGTTCAAGGTGGTGGGTTCCTGTGCATTGTCATTCATATTGCTCACGAACACAGAGGACAATAAAGCCTAAGGCATGCAACCATGCACGCCATCATTTATGCATCGTCAATGTGACCTTGTGACCTGTGGATGTGTTTTTCTTTTCATGTATAGGAAATCAAAACGGCGATGCTAGGTCGTTATTAAGTGAATTTCCAGGTATATTTAATAGAGGCCTTTAATACTAAGGACCTGCATGAATTTCACTTGTAAAGTTGAAGATTTTTCTTCCTTCGGGAATCGTTATATCAAACAGAAACAAAAACATAAAAACCTTTAATTTTTATCACCTTTGCTCTTTATTGGGAACCTATTAAAGCGAACATTTCCAAAGCTGTTAAATTCGTTCAATTTTACGGCTATGCAGCACTGAGTACAAAAGTGAAAGTCAAACACTTTAAAACCTCATTTTTTCAGTCAGTAGAAAAGTAAAGCAAACACTCTAAAAACTGTGTTAAGCAATTAAACACAATTTTGCTATCACTTTGTTAACATGTTTAAAAGCTAAACATTATGTGTTCCATTCCTAAACATCAATGTTCATTTGCTAAACACTATCCATCCTTACTCTAAACATGTTTAGTATTTAAACATGTTTACTAGTTGATAGCAAGAAAGTGGTTAGAACAATGTTAATTGCTAATCACAGTTTTTGCAGTGAACATGACGTTGAATAGGAAGTTTGGACAGGGACTGTAAAGTGGGAATAGCACGTAGCTGTGGCCTAGGGGTCCTGGACGTGTATTTAACACATTTAAACAAAATACGACAATGGTTCCCGGTCCCTCCATCGTTGATTTTCACTTTGTAATGTATCGCCGGGGACCAGTACTGCCCTACATACGAATTTCAAATTAGCATTAATACCGAGGTTCTCAGTTCTAAACCGTTGTATGATTCGATGCATGCAGCCTCCTCTTGTTGTTTAATCCTCTCAACCACTCAACAAACGACGGCACCGAGGCCCCCGGTTTTATGCAGTGCCAATTTGAAATTGATTCTCTTCCTTGAAAGGAAAATAAGCACAACTGTAGTTGGGATTGGTGCGGTGACAGTCTGCTGAAAGGCCGGTGCTGCTATGATGTAGAATTACTGTCTGTGATCGTGTGTGTAAAACGAGCGTGGAATATGTCGTTATGGAATGCACATAAACCGTTGTCGAGTAAATGAGCCTGACCTGGGAAGAGGGTAACGTCACTTTATGCTTATAAGGAATTAGCATATCGATATTCCCATAATGCACCGAGCCTTGAATACTGAACCCTAGATGTCAACTTCTCTCAGTTGTCAACCGCTCAAGCGTATAACAGCGCCCTCTATCAAAAAGATATGGACAATCAAATTTATCAGCATCCATTTGGCATCGCCTTTAATATTATTTCAGAATGCAAGCCTCTCTCCCGTGTTCTTCTGACCAGGTGATAGGTCAGTGCTACTTGATGTCACTCACCCAGCTCAGATTGAAAGATTTTGAATATTTAATGATCATTTCCCGGGTGGCTTCTGTTGACACCTTCAGTTCAGCACTTCCAAGACGGTTTTATACTCCTTCCTTCAAACTTGAACTGCATCCGTCGTTCTCATCTTGATTGTAACTAGATACTCTCGTCTCACAAGTAGGTGTCATGAAAAGGATGGCGTTTGAAGTAGGTCCTTTGTCGAATGGTCCTCCTGTGGGTGACTGTCTAGTTAATAGAGATTCTTTTTGAAAAAGGTGAATAACCTCAGAACGCAGAGAGCAGATAAATGTACAGAAAAAACGCGGGAAACACGGTTTATTAATCGTTCTCTTAGATGCCTAGCACAGTGGCGGATCTAGAAATGTTGAAAAGGGAGGGGCGGTCCTTCAATGTGGTGTCAGACCATTGGCAGGATGCAGACCCAAGCATTCGGGGGGGGGGGTGTCCAGAAGGCCGCCGCAAATTTCGAAGGGGGGGGGTGTATCAATGATAGGCGGTCTCGGTTTTATTGGGGGGGGGGGGTCTTTGCTTTTGGCCGCCCAGGCGCCCCTTTTAAATTCTCCACTGGCTTTGCAGGCAATACGAATGGTATTGAAATTTGAAATGTGCGCCCACTGCCGAGAGTTAAAGAAAACGCATTTGGATAACTTCGGAAATTTTCGCGACCGGAATGATCCTATCCGTTTTGGTCACGTGCTGTGACGTGACGCATGCCCGACCTGAGATTGGTCAGAATAGTCAGAATCTTTTGGTCTGAGAACCAAACTTACCCAAACCAAATAGCGCCCTCTATTTGTGTCGTCTCACTTACTAAAAAAAATCTCATACTTTTCTTATTTTTCAATCTAAGCTACGTACGTCACGTCTCCTGTTGCGTTGCACAAGAAATAGGGTCCTGGCATGAAGACTTCAGGCGAATTACATCAAATCATCATATCATGAGATTACATGTGAGAGATTCTCATTTGATTTGAACATTATAGGCGTCCAAATGAATGTGCAGAAAAAGGTCAATCCGAGTCTGGAACTGAAACGGGGTTTAGAAACCTTTTGCTGAGCAATTTTCCTTGGCTGCCAAACAGCGCCCTCCACTTTTGTAACACGGAGTTCATTGCATTGTAGTACAGCAAGTTGCCGAGAGATGGCGGCTAGTCCAGCGGGCTCTCCCCGCTGAAATGCTTGGAAACCGGTGCTTCAGATGATAGTGACCCCTGACATCATTATTGACAATCCGTGTGCCCCTGTTGAATGATATACTGTCGTTGGGTATTAGCGTGTCCATCGCTTCATATAAAATTCCAAAAACAAGGATTAGATCTGGCATTCATTTAGTTCGATGGCCCAATATTGTCAAGTCATGTTTTGTGATTTTACGATAATGTTAGTTCATCCATGGAGCAGGTTTTGCAGATCTCACGCTAGTTGGTAAAATAGAATTTTCCGAGTATCGAGGAGCCTCGGGATATTTTAAAGTTGAGTTCAATGTATGATATTGCCATAAGTGTCCATCATAATGCTTGGTTTTCAGTATATATTTTCAAGATCAAGTTGATTTAATTCCATTAATATTAATTTTGATGATGGTTTTCAGTACCTGTCTTTCATTTTCGCGGTAGAATGCAATTTACATTTTTGGTTTAATAGTTTTAATAGTCCCCCACCACCCCCACTATGTTCCTCTCGTGTCCTGCACCTGTCAAGACAGGGCGAGGTCTAGTGACAGTGATCCTATTACGGGATTTGCCTCATCCTCTCGATGCATTTCGTCTTGCTTTAATTAAGAATTACAGCGGCAAGGCTGATTATGATTGCCATTTTTCTACGTAAAGCCCTTGTAGGGTTGCAGACCCCTTTCAATTATTCTCCGATGATGTACTCTTATAATGCGAACATAAGCTTTTTTTATCCACGCCAACAACACGTGACGTCCGTCAGCCGCTAGCCCCGCCCACAAATCAACTTCGCTCTGCAGCAACGCACGCACTGCGCCCAGAAGAGACACTGCATCACAGTTAAGCAGAAGCTCTGCATGGTTCCATGTGCACAGTTTAAACAAAAGTATGCATTTCAGTATTCAGCCGCATTTCGTTATACACTATGGTCTTTTATTTTAGCCGTTTGGATTAAACAGACAAGACATTGCAGTGGTTGTATGATGTGTTATTCTGTGTGACGGGGAGTAACACTTCGTTAACTCGTACAACCAAACCGTGGATATGGAAACTTTGGATTGGTGTTTTCCGAACGTGTGTAGACATTCCTCACAATAAATAGCCGGATAACCACTCATCGCACCTAACTCTTGCATCGTCGTTGGAAACTGGCTTAGTGCCGCGGAAAGATAGTGGATCTGACGATTTAGGATCTTGACTTGGGAGTGATTGTGGTGAGGTTTACTTCAGCGGAGAAAGAAGCAAGATGAATGTGTCTTTGGGACGAGCATGGTGGTGGATATTAACGACTTGTCTCACGCTGCTATCCACAGGTAAAGATTGCTAACAAACAATGATTTCGCACGACAGATTTGCTGTCGGTGATGATGTCTCCGGTCCAATAATTCCACCTAAAAAGGGGCGTGTCTATACTTGGAAGCGGGGCGTTTAAGTGGATCAACTCGTGGTACTGGTAGTAGAGATTTAAAGCGGTCATAGGACCTACTGAAAGACAAGTATAGGGAAAGAGAATAAGTAATCAGATGGACACCAAACCGTTACCGGTTATAGATGTTCTGACATTCGTTTTGACTTCTCTTTATTTAAGGAGGTCTATTGAATATGTGGCGTAAAGTCCAACCCATGCCCGCAGCGCATGCGCAAAGCCAACAACAATTCCTTTTTAAAGTTGTAACATAAACATCCAGTATTCTGATTCAAAATGCTTAGAATAGCCCCAAGTTCCCGAATTACTATCCTTGGCCTTTCGCAGTTTGAAATATCAAACCCACCACGCCTGAGGCCACGGTATCCAGATTTGTCTTAAACCGACCCAGAAAACCGTAACTAGCTTTGAAAATAACTACTGACCGACCAGTGTACATTAACACAGATATTTCCTTATTTTGTTCCCGTAAACGAACAGAGTTGTACGGCCAGACTCTCCCTAACAACTGACCAGCTGTTCCCATTATTTTTATTCTCCTAATTACAACAGTTACGTAACTTTTGAATTAATTTTTAAAAGTACTGCATGTTTCAATGTCGTATTTTTTTTTACAAAAGAATTGTGAAAGAAAAACGAGTGACCATTGACTCAATTTATAAAATACGAAACCGAGGCTGACCATTTCTTTTATAGACGGGAAAAGAAGTATAAACGATACCGTCTGAGATATAATATTACGCTGCGAAGATTCGAATGATCTGAAACGTTATTGTTATTGTTAGGTCATTTACAATCTGGTAAAAAGAGGATACCTTAACGCATCTTCTTGTACAGTGCCTTTAATAGCATATGTTATGTAAGTTGACGCTGAAAAATTCAAGGAAACATGAATCGAAAATGTATGCATATTCTTAAAAAAAATACTGGTACTCGTTTTTGTGTTCTTGGATTAAAATCGTACCCGTAGAAACGTACTCTCACTCACCCTCGTACTCTGGATCATGGACAAATGACTTGGCATTCGTATTCGTGCGTGTTGCAAGGTAGGCCTACTAGTACTCATGAAAATGCATCGGACCGCAATACTGCTAGAAGTTTAAATCCGTGTGGAGCAATTAACCTTTTGCATTTCTCTCTGAATTTTAAGTAACTCCCGGTAGATTAGTTTGTTCTCGATCTGCCAGTGTTCTCGAAGACGTGGCTTGACCTTTCCCGAAAGAGAGAATCTCTCAGCGCACAGTTTTAATTTAGGGTATGGCATTTTATATTTGTCATTAAATTTGATTGGTCATGTCTTCAAGAGTCGTTGGACCTACAGAGGTGCCAACTGGCTATATAAGAATAATTTGCTTCACATTGGCGGGCTACCAGCTAGAATATTACTGATAAATAATGCTATGCACTGGTTCTCATCTGTATTCATGCTTAGCAGCATTTTCTGGTTAACCGCTCTGACGAATTGGGCAGGGGCATCGTATGGACACAAAATGACGTCCTTGCTTCACCAATTCAGATAACAACACACGAGGGGCGCAAGAGGCAGTTTTTGCATTCAGTTTGTGTCCACATTTTTTCAAAGCAATGTGTGGCAACTCTACGGCTATGACGTCAGCTAACCATAAATTGCTAACTGAAAGTGATGAAGTGTTAAATCTATAGCAGTGTTTCCCGCCAAAGATCTTGAAGGTACTGTTTTTTTGATTTCGCTGTAGCAAAAAAAAATCTTTCTCAAAACATTTCTTAATCAAACAGAAGGTAAGAGTTTCGCACATCGTCAGCCGTCATTTCGTCTGACATGTATGGAGTCATTTTTTTTTTTTAAATGTAAAACAGTTTGTTAGTTCACGAAGGCAACACCAAGACGATATTCAGTTCATTAGCATGTTGTCGTTAAAGTGACCAATTGCAACCATATAATGAAAGCCCAGCATCTTGACTGTTCATATGAGATTTAGACACCGATTTTTCTAACGGGGTCAATGCGCGCTAAAGGCGTTTAGGCCCTATATAATTATGTAAATACGAGGGTTGAGATATTTTTTTATCTGCACCCCAGGACATCCGTTGATGACAAGTTGTGATATTAAATTATCCAATTTTCGTTTAGATATTCCCGTTTGTGTAAAATGTGTTTTTGCTTTATCACGTGACCACAACATCGCGATCAGCTGACTGAATGATTCAAAACGTGACATATTCATGTGGTGAAAGCTCTCTGACACATAGAAACAGTATACTGAGTTCAGTATTGGAACTCATTCATGATGTAATAATAACACACGAATCCCATAGATCATGTAATCATATGATAATCCTTCCGATCTGCCTCGGGGATCATTCTACCAGATAATTAGCCCACCGGATTAAGTGGACTTACAATTTAATCACTTACGCACGTTCCGGCTCAGCCGTTAAAATAGGCAAATTGATGCATCCCTGAATCGAGGTGAGCTGACAGATGCGAACGGCCACTATACGAAGTAAACGTCATTTATGTTTCATTTATGTTTTTCGTTGAGGCTTTGATATAAATATGGAAAACATGAAAAGTTGTGGCACGAGGTCGCCACACCAATGCCCGGGGGGGGGGGGGGGGGGGTGGAGGGGGTGTCAGACACAGAAATTTAATTACCACATGAATTATTCGTTTTGCAAAAGCCAGCAACACTATGCATTTTATATTTTTTTTGACTGGCTCGCAGGTGAGAGAAGATTTCAGAGGAAGCGGCTGCTTAGTAGACAAACGTGCTAACAAATTGCTTATGGTAAAAATTAGGTTGTGGGGGTGGAGGTAAGGCTTGCAATGGGAAATATTAATAATAATAATAAAAAATGTATTACATTTATATAACGCTTTCTATGGGCGTTTCAAAGCGCTTGCTATTTTTAGGGACTGGTAAAGAAGTTGATGAAAATACGAGACCATTATGTGGCACCTTTATAAGGGTTTACAAGGCGCTGACTTGATTTGTCGTCAGGGTTACGTGTGGTTAATTGGATGTTGCACAGTAAAAGATGATTACTAACCATGATTAACAATTAACTAACTTAGATAACTAGTGCACAGTTGTTTTTAGTGACTAAACCGTGTTTTTTTTCTTACTGTAAAGGTTAATTAAGTTAGTTTAACTTCACTTCAATCATTTTTAGATCCACTTACCTTTTACGAGACCGGTGAATCAAGTTGGCATTAAAAGTGCCGTGTTAAATATGTCAGCTTCAATCAATCAAAACTGTGGATTTGTTAGAAGATGTAAAGATCGTTGGAGTTGGTCATCGCTGACGTAACTTTTATCAATCAATTTTGATATGAGTGAATAGCAGTTTTATAGGTACCCATGAACTTCGCCAGGATTTTTCTAGGAGGGGGGGGGGCAAAGCACATCCCCCCGAAATCCCTGTATTTTTCCGGCATATTCTAAATTTATCATTTTTCTAGCGTCTTTTTGTTCCCCCCTTTTTGGGGTGGGGGGGGGGGGGTGCTTTTCCGGGAGGGCCACAAAGTGCCCCCCTTGCTCCCCTCCTCGCGACGCCCATGGAGGTACCTAAAAGTTCATAACATTTGGGTAGTAAGTAAGATTTTTTTATGTTGTACAATACACATTTAAATAATTGTCTGTAGTGTAACAATCAGAGTCAGATCAAATATTTTGAGCTTTGGATTGGAAAAACTGATTCATTGAGAGAACCTCGTTACTTCTGGACATTCTGGACCGAAGCGTGCGGCAACAAAATACTTTAAATATTTAACGTTATGGTCGATAATTTAATGATAATCATTCAGTAAATATGGCACCTTCTCATGAAGTTATTTCTCCATGGCGTTAGAAAAGGCCAAATCACCGCACAAGTTTGACATCGCAAACAACGCTGACGCACACCCGCGAATTCTCGTATTTTGTTGATCTGTAAAACCCCAGGAGCTCGCCCCTTCGCGCTGCCGAGTAGTAGCAGAGCTTCCGTAGAGCCAGTTCCGCTTGACACCGGAGATTTTTTTATTTCAATATTCAGCGGGCAAGCATGAAATTCGTCACCCGGCCGCACGAGTCGGCCACCTGCGTAGGGATCGGCTTCCAACCTGCCTCGCACTACGCTGCCACCCTCGGCTCCGCCGTACTGCGTCAATATCTCATGAGCGAACAGCTTGTAGTTCGAGAAAATTGGATACAGTTAATAAAAAAGAAAAGAAAAATTATCTTATTGACTAAAAGTTCCGTTCTTGATTTCACCACTTGAGGTTTCATAGTCGCATGTTAACGTATATCTACATTTAAAGAGCATAAGAGAATCCTCCAGATTCTTTTTCAGCCCCTTAAAAAGTTTCTGTGACTCATTTAGCCAGAAGCTTCTTTAGTTACCTTGGCATTTATATACTAGAGAGGAATGTGTTATCACCATTCGGTTGCCGGATACTTTGAGCCACAACTCCTGCAGGTGTACGGGGAGGGGGGGGGTGTCATTGGGTCCAAGGTGTGAATATTCAGGTTAGATGTTTACACATTGATAACAAACGGACGCTTCAATAATAGGTTCAATTTCACCCATCTGTATTGCGTACATGAGGTTAAACAAAGCTTTCTGAACCCAAACTTTGAAACGAAAGAAAAATGGCGGACTTCTGGCTGCAGCAGGAACGGTTACCTGCTTAGGCCTGATCCAGTTACTAACAATTATTTCATGCACCATGTTCTAGCTTTTGTAGCATTTGAACACCAACATCTTGCTTATATGGTCTGTCATGATTCGTTTCAATCCGTCTGATTCAAAAGCAAAACTCACCGTAACTGACAGATTAAACGCTGATCCAAACTTACAACACCAAAATACTGCGTTATAAGTTCGGACAGTATATCCAAGACAAAATCCTACAGCTACAAATTACTA